CTCTCTCTCTCTCGTCTCGTCTCTGTCTCTCTCTTCCCTTCCCTCTCTTCCCCTCCCTCTCCCCCCTCCCCTGCTCGTGCTCTTTCTCTCTCAAAATAAAACAAATATTTAAAAATATACATGTACAAAAATAACCTCCAAAAGTTTTGAAAATAAGGGCAAAAATGAGCCCTGAACATGTTTTGAGAACAAGGTAATTATATAGATCATGATAATCACCAGTGGCTATTGGTAAATACGTTGCAGCTTGATAATTATACTCCACTTCGGGTTCAGATTAGAATGTTCCTCTAATTTGCCACAGAAGCTGCTATTTGAAGAGGCTAAAACCTGGGATGAGAGGACCTCTTTGAATTGTAGTAGCACTTCCAAGTCTTTGCAGTTTCCATCCATTTGTCTCATGTGGTAATAATAACCAATTCAGTTAAATAATTCAAAATGAGTAAGTTCTGTTATTTCTCTGAATTCCTTGGAAGCAGTTGAGCCAAAGTAATGAGGAAAATCATTGATTTGAAAACTAGAGCAGTATTCATCAAAATGTGAAAAATGACTCATTAACGGCACATGATATCAATTTAGTGTGTTCCCCCCCCCCCCAGCAATTAAAAAGAAGGAACAGAATAGAAAATGCTACATACAGCATGCTGCATCAGATATGGGTATGTTATTTTATAAAATTTTTGTTATAGTTATACGTGTGTGTGTGTTTGTGTGTGTGTGTGTGTGCGCGTGCGCACGCACACATGGGCATGTATGGGTGTGTTTACTGGGTTGTGATGTAAAATGTATTTCCCACTATGGCATTTATTTCCCACTAGACTGGGAAGTTTGAAAGTCACCACCCTATAGGACACAGCAATATTGTTCAAGGAGTTGGATCATGTCCAAGTACCCACTTAATAAAATTGATTTAAATTTGATAACATTGTAATCATGCCCCACTTGGGGCGCCCAAACTGTAATTATATAATCATACTTCCAAACGCATAATCAATACCTCATTCATTCAGCAGACTTGGCTTCAAATAACGTTTAATTATTTCCAAAGTCAAACCCATCTCTGAAAGATGCATGCTCACTACTACAGAAGCTATGCCAAAAAATTTGCCATAGATTCTGAAGTCAATACCAAAAAAGTAGTTTGAAAAATATTTTCAGCAAAAGCAACATAACTAAAATTAGACTCAGAGCACTGTTTTCCAGGACTACTTCTGAAGTTTCTGTTTGCATGTGTATCACAAATTTAATTATAATCATTGTATAATTTTCTTCCAATGAGACTGAGAAAAGTTTTCACACAGAAAACTTATTTTATTATTTCTGTGTCCCAGTGCCCGTGTGTATGTGTGTATTCTAGAACATAAGAGGCATTTAATAAGTGTTAGGAAGATAGAACTCATTTGGATATATACATGTTCTGAAACGTAAATGAATGACTCAAGGTCAGAGCACATGCTAAGGCTATTCATGCTTTAAAGAATATACTTTAAAGAATCTCAGGGCACCTGGGTGGCTCAGTTGGTTAAGTGTCCAACTTCAGCTTAGGTCATGATCTCACAGTTCATGAGGTCAAGCCTGCACTGGGTTCTGTGCTGACAGCTCAGAGCCTGGAGCCTGCTTTGGATTCTGTGTCTCCCTCTCTCTCTGCCCTTCCTTCCCCTCTTTCTCAAAAATAAAATAAACATTAAAGAAATTTTTAAAAAGAATATATTTCTAGTCTTGCAACCTCAAAACAGGGCTTTACTGGAATTTAAAATTCATAACATTTTAAATCAAAGGAATAAAATTTAAAACAAAATGAGATATTGTTCTGATATCAAATTATCCTGAATGCAAGTGGGGAAATGAACACTCTCAGGCAATGTGTGTGATAGGGAAAACTGAAGAAGGTAGTTGGGAAATACACATCAAAAATCTGTAAGTATACTTATTCTATGATGAAGAAATTTTGCTTCTAGTTCTTTTTCTATGGCAAATTAAGAATCGATAACATAGATGCAAGGATATTAATGTCAGGGCTTTTAACAATAGACAAAGATGTCTAATATTAAGAAATTAGGGGCATAAATTATGGTGATTCTCACAATAGAACAATACGTAGCCATGGAAAATAATAATGTTCAATTATATTGGCAAAGAAGAAGGCTCAGAAATATGTACTGTAAAAAAACAGGTAATAAAGCTATAAACTGTAAAATATCATTTCAAACATTTATTTTATTTTTTAAAGTGTATTTATTTATTTTGAGGATGAGTGCAAGTGGGGGAGAGGCAGAGAGGGAGAGAGAGAGAATCCAAGCAGGCTCTGCACTATCAGCCTGATGGGGAGCTCCTACCCACAAACCATGAGACAGTGCCCTGAGCAGAAGTCAAATACTTAACTGACTGAACCACCTAGGCACCCCTCATTTTAAATATTTATGAGGTTAAATTCACATAACATAATGAAACGTTTTACAGTGAACAATTCAGTGGCTGTTTAGTACCTTCACATTATTGGCCAACAACCACCTCTGTCTAGTTCCAAAACGTTTTCATCACCCCAAAAGGAAACTGTACCCATTAAGCAGTCCTCCTTCCTTCAATCCCTGGTAATCATTAATCTGCATTATGTCTTCTATGGATTTACTTATTCTGGATATTTCATATACATGGATCATACCTATGTGACCTTTTGTTGCTTCACTTAGCTTAATGTTCTGTCTTTTAAAAATAATTTTAAAAATATGTGTTTACTTGGGGCGCCTGGGTGGCTTAGTCGGTTAAGCGTCTGACTTTCGCTTAGGTCGTGATCTCGTGCTTCGTGGGTTCGAGCCCCGCGTCAGGCTCTGTGCTGACTGCCAGCTCAGAGCCTGGAGCCTATTTCGGAGTCTGTGACTCCCTCTCTCTCTGACCCTCCCCTGCTCATGCTGTCTCTCTCTCTCTCTCCTAGAAATAAATAAAAATAAAAAAAAATTTTAATGTTTATTTATATTTGAGAGAGAGAGAGGAGACAGAGCACGAGCAGGGGAGAGGCAGAGGTGGGGTGTGGGGGCGACAAAATCTGAAGCAGGCTCCCAGGCTCTGAGCCATCAGCACAGAACCTGATGCAGGGCTCCAACTCACCAGCAATGAGATCATGACCTGAACTGAAGTCGNCTATTTCGGAGTCTGTGACTCCCTCTCTCTCTGACCCTCCCCTGCTCACGCTGTCTCTCTCTCTCTCCTAGAAATAAATAAAACATTTAAAAAAATATATTTACTTACTTTTGACACACACACACACACACACACACACACACACACACACACACAGAATGTGAGCAAGGGAGGGGCAGAGAGAGAGGGAGACACAGAATCCGAAGCAGTCTCCAGGCTCTGAGCCATCAGCACAGAACCTGATGCGGGGCTCAAACTCACGAACCATAGGATCATGACCTGAGCCGAAGTCCGATGCTTAACCAACTGAACCACTCTGGTGCCCCTTAATATTCTGTCTAATAGCAGTACTATTCCTTCTTATGGCTGAATAATATTCCTTGCATGTATATACCACAATGTATCTGTTCATGGGTAGATGCACATTTAGGTTTTTTCCACCCTTTGGCTATTGGAAATAGTTTTGCTATGAACATGAGTATACTGCAGAATCATTTAAATGATCTAACCACCAACTGGTAGAGAATAACTTCAGGAATATTAAGGGTCATTACTTTGGGATTACAGGGGAATCTTTTTATATTATTAAGAACATTGCGCTTTAGAATTAAGCAGACTAGACTCCATTTCTTCATGTGTAAAGTGGGGAAATAGAACCTAAAACAAAACTGCGTTATTGTGAAGATGAGATGAAATCTATGTAAAGGACTTAGAACTATGTGGAGGTACAGTGTAAGAACTGAATGCACAGTATTTTTTAATCCTTTGTTTTTCCTTTTCTGTCACCTTCATCTAAAATATGTTCCCCTAACAGAATAATACTGGTGTTAAACAGGGTTTATTTGTTTTACAGATAAATTTGCATGCTACACATTTAAGATGCATAGTCCTCTCTGCTGATACTCATTTGAGCTGGTGCCAAAGGGTGCTGATGGTTTGATCTGATAACATCACTTTGACGGAGTCTAGTTCTACAATGTAACTCTGCAAGTTTCAATTAGGGCATTCTCCAGTCCCCTGCCATAACTCCTCTTCCATGTTAGTCTTTGTTTCAGGATCGTTTTATAATGTTGCACATGCAACCATCTAGGCTTTTTACATTTTAATACTTTACCACCGGGAACGGTGAAGAGCAGTCTTTCTGGTGCGTGGCTAGGAAAATACTTTGCTATCAGGTTTTTCCAAATGTATAAAATTTCCTCCAGAATATCTCTGTACTACCTAGAAAAATCTCAAATTTTATTTTTCATCGTGAACTCAAACTTCTTTGCCAAATATGCACATCTTGAGCACGTAAGGTTGAGGTCCGGGAGCCTGCAGGGCACCTCCCCGGGTTTGGGGAGCCCCAACTGGCATCTGCAGCCACCGAGCCTCCCCAACGCGGGAGTTTTGAGGAGAGCCCGGGGACAGCTGGGCGTCACGTGGAGGGGCCGCGCAGGGACCCCCCCCCGTCCCGCCCCCACTCGGGAAGCTGCGGCTAAGAGGCCGCATCCCTAGAGCCCAAGTCTGGGCGTTCGCTACGGCCTCGCGAGGAGGGGAGCAGCCAGCCCGCGGCGCACAGGTGTCCGGTGGCGGCGCCCGGGCCCCCACCGGCGCGCAGGGCGGGATGGGCGCCGCCCGTGCGCGGGGGCTGGGGCCCGGGGGGAGGTTCCCGCGAGGTGGTTCTCGGGCTCCTCCTCGGCGCTCAGGTTTCCTCTCCCGCCCGCCGGCTGCTGGCTGCGGCGCCGCCTCCCTCCCCCTCGCGGCCGGGCCCACTCTGCGGCCTCTGCCCGCCTCGCCCCCGCCCGGGCCTCCTCCCGCTTTCTCTCTCCTCTTCCCCTCGAGCCTCCGGAGGAGCCCGCAGCCGAGGGGCGCCCGGGAAGATGGCGGCGGCGGGAGGCGGCAGCGGCGAGGGGGGCGCGGGCCTGGGCGGCGCGGCGGGGCCGGGGTCGGGGTCTGGGTCGGGGCCTCGCGGGCCGGGTCCCTCCGCCGGCGCGAGCGAGGACCCTGCCCCGGGCTCCGCGCCCAGCGCGCTGCACCCCGAAGAGGTCGCCGCGCGGCTGCAGCGGATGCATCGGGAGCTGAGCAACCGCAGGAAAATCCTGGTGAAAAACCTGCCCCAGGACAGCAACTGCCAGGTACGGAGACAGGACGTTGAGGCGGCCCGTCCCGGGGACATCGGGGCAGGGCTTCCAAGGGAAGCTGCGCGGAGGTGGCCGAGCGGGTGCCCGGCGCCTTGGAACGGTCGGGGGAAGGAGGGCGTCGCTGCCGAGTTAGAACCGTCCGTCGATTTTGCAAAGCCCACGGGCTTCTGAGCCTGCGCCCCCCCTGCCGGGTGGCACGGTAGGAAACTGAGGCTCCGAGAAGCAAAGCACGGGTCCAAGGTCACGGGAATCGGGGGCGGCTGCCTTTCGTTCGCCCCGCTCTTTCCTTCCCCTGTGGCCCTTGGGTGAGGGTAGAGAGAGAAGTCGGTGAAATAGTAGGGGAAAGGAAGTGGAGTGGAAGTGAGCCGAGGAGCACAGTTTTGGGGGACCAAGTTTTCGGGGCCACCTTGAGAGGGACGGAGGGTTCCCCCCTAGGGTCCTCCGGCCTTGGGCGTGCCATGGGGGGGGGCGGGGTCATGAGAGAGCTGAAAGTGAGTTTTGCTATTGCAGAAGCACTTGCCCAAGTTTGTATGAAAGAACTCTGCCCTCCACCCCCATCCCCGGTTTACCAGGGCCCCGGAATGGAGAGGTTTATCGCTGCGCTTTGGGGAACCTTGCGTCCACCTTCTGTCATGTCAAGTCCTGGAGGATTTGTTACTTAGCGACTCTAAGGAAGCTTAAAGAGGCTACTTTGTGTCTTTGATCCAGATTTACTGTTGCTTTAAGATTAGAAACTCTGCATCTATTTACCCCCCGCCCACCCCACCCCCCTTTATTGCCAAAGTCTACATGCTCATTGTAGAAAAGTGAGAAAATACAGGAAGGTGCCAAGGAGGAAAATAGAAATCACCTGTATTTTCTCTTTAATTGAAGTATAGTTAACACGATGTTATATTAGTTTCAGGTGTACAAAATAGTGATTGGACAATTCTATAGGTTAGACATTGCTCACCACAGTGTTCCCGTCTGTCACCATAGAAAGTTATTACAATGTTATGGACTAGTTTCCTGATGCGGTACTTCTCATACTCGTGATGGACTTCTAACTGGAAGTTTGTGCCTCTTAATCTCCTTCACCTGTTTCACACACCCCCTCCCCCGCCTGTCCCTTCTGGCAACTACCAGTTCTCTGTGTCAGTGAGTCTGTTTCTGTTTTGTTCTTTTGTTTTTTAGATACCATATATAAGTGAAATCACATGGTATTTGTCTTTCTCCGTCTATTTCACTTAGCATAATACCCTGCAGGTCCATCCATGTTGTCCCCAGTGCTAAGGAAATACTTGCGTATTTCTGGTATTTAAAGACAACCATTGTTAACATAAGATACTATCCTTCTCCCTTTTCCTGTGTCTATGTATGCATATGTATTTTGGTTTTACAAAAAAAAAGGAAGAGAAGCCATGTCTGATTCTTCAGTGTTTCTTAATTGTCTAGATGTTTGTGTATATTTCACATATAGCTTGAATTTAAATATTTTGTGTGGATGGAGCAGGGTAGGTTGTCCTGGCGGTGGCAGATTTGAGCCGATTCATGTGGTTCCTTCTATAAGGGGATATAGGGAATTGTAAGTGGGCTGGCGATTGATAATTGCAGGGCAGTTCTTCTGTAAGACCCTTAAAATAATGAGAGCGGTACCTCATTACTTTGTAAATAGACCTCACATTCTATTCACAGTAAATGAGAGCATATAACCTTGTAACCCATATGCATGGGGGGCCATTTTGTTAACCAGCAGTGTAAAAAGTCTCTGTCAATATGATATAGCTCATCCCTCCTTCAGCGCTTCCCATCTGTCAGGTAAGATTTTGTGATGCTCCCTATAAGAACACCTGCAATAGGCTCATTTCATAGAAGCAAATTTCCCCTACCTACGCAAATAGAAGACCGCAAGGGGGTTCAGGAAGAGGAAGGCCTGAAGAAGCAGGTGGCATTAAAAAAAGTTGAAGGAATAACAGCTCTGTGTGTAGATAATCTAGAAGAAGAGAGATGGAGAAGAGTCTTAATTTTCTTTTGTTACTACATTTCCTTGCATTCTAAAAATATTTAGACACAAAATTCTAGACAGTTTGCTCTATTCTTGTTTTGCTGTACCATTCTCATTTCCTTTATTAAGAGCCACGAAAAAAAAATAAAGGGTCCAAACACAGGAACGGTTTTAATTGGTATTAGTGATGAATGGAGGTTTTTTTTTTTTTTGAGAATTCTACTGATTTGTATTTTTGAGATATTTTTTCTCTGTTATAACTTTATCTTTAGCCTAAATCTTAGAATTTTCTGTAAAGTAGCAACTGTAAACTATTGAATAAAATTGGTATCAGATCTACATGTCTAGATGAGTTTTTTACTGCCGACTATCTTAAAATTTCATGTTAAATCCTTAGGCCACATTTTTTTGAGAATTGAAGAGTTTCATCTAAAAACAAAAATAGTTATTAGGACCTAGAGATTAGTTTCCAGATTTATTCTAGCATTTATTTTTTTCTATTCTGATTTATATTATAAAATGTTGTTTTTAACATTTATGATGTGTAGCTTTAAAGTCTAAACCTATCAGTGCACAGATAACATTTGAGTAGTGTTTCTTTCTGTCATCTTCTGTAGTTGTATCTTTGCTGGTTTTCTGATCACAGTCATAACTATCAGTGGTCTGTGTTACATTAATTAAGTATAGTAGAGCAAAATATGCTAATTTTTAAAAACAGTTGAAAGTCTTTAATTAGATTGAGAATAGCTATTTTTATTGGTTGAATAAAATTAACATACACCTAACCTACTCTTAAGTTGTAATAGTCTTATGAATATATTCTGCAAGGATTTTTTATATTTTATCTTTTATTTCCCTTAACAATTCTAATGTCTGATTCTAATGTTCCTCTCAGTGGCTGCAGTTTACTGTCAACTTAGAAATGAGGATTTAACTTTAATTTTCAGTTGTGCCTTTTAGCATTTATTACTTGGCTAAACTACCAATTTACTTCTTATGAAACAACTAATGTGGTTTAAGAAGGTTACTACTTTTTGTTCAGTCGTTAAGTAATCAGATATTTTAAATGCTCAAATTCTTGTTCTTCTCTAGAAGACTCTATCAGTTCATTCATTCTTTTATTCTAGAATATTACATTAAGGATCAAGGCCATTCCTCATTGTAGTTCTCAAGTCTGTAGAAAAGTTACGTTGGTAACTGATTAGTAGGAGCCCAGTAATACTCATTGAACATTTTTAAAACAAAGGTGTTTTCTTTATTGAAATTTTACTCAAATTTTAATTTTAGGTAAAATCAGTTCTCAGAAGCTGTCTCATTGAATAGTTACTGTGCAGTCAGGTGCTGTCTGGTCGGCCTCCTAGGTTTTCTTGAATTCTCTTAGCCTCTGTGTTTTCATAGTCTCAGCTTTGGTTCATGTCCCTTTTTATCTCTTGTCCAGACTATTACAACTTTTCTGTTTGTCATCTACCCTCATTATTGTCCTGTGTCTTATGTTTTAGCTCATCCTGCTTACTGCTTCCCTTGAGAGAACTCTTCAAAGCACAAATCCAATAGTGTCACTCTACTGCAAAGAAAGAAAGGGAGAGAGACAGAAAGAAAGAAAAGGAGAGAAAATGAGAAGAAAGGAAAGGTTTAGCTCTACATTCTCAAAATCTTCATCAAATGGCCCTCAACTTGTCTCTTTTTCTCATATCGTAAGGAATAGTGAAGCTCAATTAGCTTATTCCAAGAGTGAAATGGCTTTGAAGCTTCATGTTTCTGACTGAAAAATTCATGTTAATGTTTTGTTCTACTAGTAAACATGGAGTTAATGTACAAATGATGACTTAAACTTGTTTCACTGCCTTACAACTTTTTTTCATAAACCTGACACTTAAGAAGATGGACATATTTATCCGATGATTTTCCATACTCCTTATTACCATGGAGTACTCAGACCTTGGATTGAAAGGCATGACATATTAGGATAGAAATATAAGATTCAAGGCTTTTTGTGACTTGGCGCTTGCCCACATTTGCAGTCTCCTTTCTTACTAGTCCTATACTGGATTCTGGTCTGGCTTCATCAAGCTACCTACATCCCCAAATGCTTCAGACCACTGTGCTTTGAATATTTATAGAAATGTCTTTGCATGTTTGTGTTTTGGAATGTAATTTTTGTGATTAATTTATCATGAATAACATTTCTAATAATTATAATTAAAGCGAATAATAACAATATTGAAAATACGGGTTCTTATTCAGAATAGCCATTGTGTGTGTGTGTGTGTGTGTGTGAATAGTCTTTTGCAACTCTGAATTTAGAATTTTAAGGTAATGTTCTAATACGTGTTTTTTGTTGGACTTTCTATACATTGGTTTACATTTGTTGGTTAACCTGGTTCTGTTTCAAAAGAATAGTTAACTGGGGTTTCAAAATGGAGAAAACAGTGGCATTTATTCTCTATACTGTTTGAATTCACTCAGTTTTTTCCTACCATGTTATGTATGTGTACATGTGTTTTGTTCTTGTTTTAGATTTTAGAATCTGAAAGAGACTTTATGGTGTAATTAAGAGAAAATGTGAAGTGCTTAGGGCTAACAGCCAAGATTAGTAATAGAAACAAAACATTGTATTGTCTCACTCTGGACATTATTAACTTTCATTTTGACGTACTCTATTATAATAGTTAATTGAGAAGCTTGATGGTTAATTCACCAAGGTCCATTTCAAAGCACAGTATTATCAGCTAAGCACTTTAGAATCACAAACCACCAAATATAGAGTATTTCAGTTGATTTTTTTTTAAATATTTTTATTTATTTCTAGGAGAGAGAGAGAGACAGCGTGAGCAGGGGAGGGTCAGAGAGAGAGGGAGTCACAGACTGAAACAGGCTCCAGGCTCCGAGCTGGCAGTCAGCACAGAGCCCGACGCGGGGCTCGAACCCACAAACCGCGAGATCATGACCTAAGCGAAAGTCGGACGCTTAACTGACTAAGCCACCCAGGCGCCCCAGTTGATTTTCTTTT